TTATCTGCAAGTGTGGGTGTTCTTATGCATATGCCCTCTCTTCTTATCAGCTGGACACTTCACTCTCCACTCTAGTCCTCTGTGGCTATGTCACTAACTCTGGGCCCACGAGTCCCTAGGTCTTGCCATACTGCTGGCCAACTAGGTCTCCACCTGGGTTCACAGGAATCTACTGAATGTTGTAGGGCTTAGTTTGCAGCTTCATTGCTGTTTTTCCCTCATTTCTCCTTAAAGGTGACCCACGTGGTCACCAATCTGAGCGCATGTCTGCTCATGCATTCCCACTGAGTCTTAGTCTTGGCAGGGGGTTTGCTTTGAGGGGACCCAACCACTTGCCTGCTGTCTCCTGGGCGAGCAACTTGCTTGTTCTTGTAGTAATGTCGGACTGCTGTTATTGTTTTGTATTTTTCCTTAAAGCATATATTTATATATTTCTCCTTTCCTACCCAGATACTAAAGTCTATGCTGCTTTGGGAAATCATGACTTTCACCCCAAAAACCAGTTTCCAGCGGGGCACAACAATATCTACAATCAGGTAGCAGAACTGTGGAGACCCTGGCTCAGTAACGAATCTATCCCTCTCTTCAAAGAAGGTACTAGCATCATTTGCTACTAGAAGGAGCACTTAGTGTATGCCAGCTCTGATCTAATTTTATGACAACCACCCCATGAAATAAATACTGGTTTTATCTCCATTTTAAAGATAAAGAGACTGAGGACTGAAAATATGTCACTTGACTAAGGTCACACAGCTGAGAAGTGGGAAGACTTGAGAATAGAATCCTGGGCTGACTCCAAAGCCCAGACTGTTAAATCCATTATCACTGATGATGGTTGTAACCACCAGTTATTTACTGTGTGCCAGGCATTGCTCTCAACACACTGTTAGACTTCTTGCCTCAACTGGAGGAAGGAAAACTAACCATCAGTTCAGAGCAGCTCCACTCAACTTCAGCACTACTGATGGTTTGGGATGGATAATTTGTTGCTGTGGCAATTGTACAGTGCATTGTAGGGTGTTTAGCAACATCCCTAGATATCAGTAACCTCTCCCTGTATCTGAACAAAAATATCTCTGGACACTATAAATATTTCCAGGGGTGCGAGCAAAATCATCTGATTGAGAACCATTGGTCCAAAGACATAGCCAGCCAAAGGCGACCCTGACCCCATTCCCTTCCTTCCATTTCCTGCTGCTGGTCAAACCCAACCATGGGCATGGAAGCCCTTCATTGATTTAGTCCACAAAGTTCAGCCTCCTGGGACAGAGAGCTGGGTGAAGGTTACCAGGGGATATGAATGGGCAAACACACCCATTATACAGATGAGGAAACTGGGGTATAGAGAGGTTAAGTAACTTTCCCAAGTTGCACGGCTAATAAATGATAGTGTCAGGATTTTAACCTAGGAATCCTGGTTCCAGAGTCTTAGCTCATATCTGCTTAGCTACACTGATCCCATAATGCTCTTCTTATGAGAAAGATGGTGGTTCTCCACTCTCTCCCCTCCTATAAGGGAAGAAGGTGGGAGAGAGTGAGGTGGAAGGGGGCAGGGGACCCTGGTGAAAGGGGGCAGGACTTCTTTCTGGTTGTCACATCCTAGGTGCCTTCTATTCTGAGAAGTTGCTGGGTCCCAGCAGGGCTGGGCGAATTGTGGTCCTCAACACCAATCTATACTATAGCAACAATGAGCAGACAGAGGGCATGGCTGACCCTGGCCAACAGTTCCAGTGGTTGGAAGATGTGCTGACCAATGCTTCTCAGGCTGGGGAAATGGTAAGGGTCCAGTCTCTTTGTCTCTGGTCCTCTTGGGGATCACTTTCTGAACAAGTCTCCTGTTTCAGCATAAACTCATGTACCCACCCACCCTGAGATGCCCACATCACAGAGAGTCATTCATTGACCCGGCATCAGGAGGGTGCTTGATCCATCTTTATAACAGCCCTGTGAGGGTGGGATCCTGGGGCCCAGTACAGATGCGGACCCCAGAGGCTCACAGGAGCAGCGACAGTTCCAAGGTCACACAGGAAGCAGTGAAGCTGAAATCAGAACCTAGGCCCCCAGACATCACTGCCACTGCACACCATAGTGCAGTCCACACTTGTGTACTAGACCTTAAGGGGGTGCAAAGTAGGGGACAGCCCAGCCCTCCCTGTGTGTCTTGGAGGATAGGGCCTGGCTCTCATTTGCTTGGACCCCTGCACTGACCAGTACGTCACAGCAGGATCTCATAGCTGGTGCTTCTGAGCATTCACTGCATTAGACATGTTGCTAAGTGCAAGATGGGTTATCTCATTCAATTCTCCAAACTCCACAAGGCATGTGCTATTATCATCACCTTCCAGATGAAGGAACTAAGTTAGCTCACAAAGGCAAATTGACTTGTGCAATGTCACAGAGCTGGTGTCCAAGCTGCAGTTTGACTCCATAGCTCTTGTTCGTAAGCCCCAATATGCGACCTCCTGCAAAGGACGCCAAGTGCCCAGATTCTGTTAGTTGAGTTATTTGAGGAAGAGAAGACATGACCACACATGACCAAGCAGGAACAGTTCAGTTACAGTGCCTGAGCAAGAGGCTCAGAAGAGAAGACCAGCTTCTGAAGTACCAGGGAGGCCTTCATGGTGGACGTGCCCTTTGAACTCGGTTTTGAAGTATGAATTTTGGTGGTGGCTATAGTGGTAGTGTGCCGTCAAGTCTCACAGTGACGCTCTAGGACAGAGGAGAACTGCCCCATAGGGTTTCCAAGGCTACCATCTTTATGGAAGCAGACAGTGATATCGCCCAACTTTGGGTTAGCAGCTGAGTGCTTAACCACGGCACCACCAGGGGTCCTTGAAGTTTGGGTACAAATTACAGAAGTGAAAATGAGACAAGTACGACTCCTGGTACTGCATAGCATGAGTTGAGGCACAGAGGTGGGAAAGCCAGTGGTACACTCACTGCTAGGCACAGAGGGAACGCCTGAAGCAGTCTAGAAGAGAGCGCAGGGAAGTGCAGAGTATTTGAACCCCTCTGCTTGCCTTTGGGAGACATGGGAGATGGGGGAGGGGTTTGAAGATGGAAAGAGGACCTAGATGTTCATCTCTAAGCCCTTCCTGGGCACCCTCTCTTCACAGGTGTACATTATTGGCCACGTGCCCCCAGGGTTCTTTGAGAAGACCAGGAATAAGGCGTGGTTTCGGCAGGCCTTCAATGAGAGGTACCTTGAGGTGGTCCGGAAGCACCATCGGGTTATTGCAGGGCAGTTCTTCGGGCACCACCACACTGATGGCTTCCGGATGTTCTATGATGACACAGGTATTCAACTGGAGGACTGCTGCCACTCACCTCCCTCCTTCTCTCACCTGTCTCTCTCAGTTCCACTGTCTCTCTCCTGCAAGGTGTCCCAATCAGTGTCATGTTCCTCACACCTGGGGTCACGCCCTGGAAAACCACATTACCTGGAGTCGTCAATGGGGCCAACAACCCAGGCATTCGGGTGATCGAATACGACCGAGCCACACTGAGTCTGCAGGTCAGGAGCCCTGGGTCTGCTGGGGACACGGAGAGGGTGGGCAGGGACCTAAACACACGTACACCTCCCTTAGCTCTCCTGACTTCAGGAAAGTCAAGTTACTTCTACTTTCCTAGGGTTCAGATTCAGAACCCTGAAGCCACCTCCAAATCCTGCCACCTAGTCAGGTGAATTCTTCTTACCCCAAATCTTTTGCCCCTGGATCATGGCCACAGTATCCTACCTGGTTTCCTTGCCTCATGTAATGTCACATTGTAGCCCATTCATTAGACATCCCTATAGAAGGGATTTACCTTTCTAAAGCACTGTTCATTCTATCTCTCTCCTGCTTAGAAACCTTCAGTGGCTCCTCAGTACCCACAATATAAAGCAGGGATGTGGGCTGGTACTCAAAGCATCCTATGGTCTGACCTCAGGTCCATGCCATGCCAACCTTTCCCTACACCAATTCTAGCTGTGCTCCTGGCAAAGCAGGCCCCTAATTCCTCAAGCACTCCTCCACCTCCTATGATGTGCTTATGAATGCTGAAATCACAAAGAAGCATTCTTTTTTCATTTATTCAACAAATATATTAAGCATCTGCCATGTGCAAGGCCTTGCTCTAAGCTCAGGGGATAACTAAGTGAACAAAACCTGACAAAATTACTACTTTTCTAAGGCTGACATTCTTACACGAGGTAAAAGACAACAAATTAGTATGTCACAGAGAGTTCTAAGGAGAAAGATTCAGCAGGGTGGGGAGACAGGGTGGTGACCAGTAGGGTGTGTGTGTGTACTATGTTAGATAGGTGGGCAGGGTAAATGTCACAGATAGGATGACATTTCAGCAGACTTCTGAGTACATTGAGGGAATAAATCATGTAGGCATCAGGGAAGTGAACAGTAAGTTAAATGCCCTGGGATAGAAATGCGCATTGTTTGATGTGTTTAAAGAAAACCTAGGTACTTGGCACCACTGGAGAAGGTAGACCAGTAGGGCAAAGACACCTTTTTTAATTGTTTATTAATTCATACAAGGAGCTATGGTAACATAGTAGTTAAGAGTCAGGCTAACCTCAAGGTCAGCAGTTCAAAACTACCAGCTGTTTCGTGGGAGAAAGATGAGGCTTTCTGCTCCTGTAAAGATTTACAGCTTTGGAAACTGTAGAGGGTCACTATGAGTCAGAACTGACTCCATGGCACACTACCACCACCACAATTCATCCTGCAAATATTACTGAGCATCTTCTATGTGCCAGGGGACTTAGTCCATCAGAAAATATCCAGCCATGAGGTAAACAAGGAGAGCAAGGAGGCCAGTGTGGTGGGAGGGACAGTGAGAAAGGATGGGGTCAGATCACAAGGGCCATGATGGACTCTGGATTTGGAAGGTTTAGGGCAGAATGAAATATTCTGAGCTTAATTTTACAAAATCACTGTGTCTGCTGTGTAGAGAACAGGCTGTAGGGAACAAAGGCAAAAGCAGGGTGAGCAGTTGGGTGGTGATTACAGACTTAGTTGAGAGGTGATGGTGGCTTCCCCCAGGGTATTGGTGGGAGGGTAAGAAGTGTCATATACTGGGTATCATTTGAAGGCAGAGCAGACAGGATTTGTTGGTGGATTGTATGTGGAGTGTGAAAGGAAGAGAAGTCATGGAGGACTCCCAAGTTTTTGGCCTGAGCAACCAACTGGAAGGATGGTGGTGGTGGTGGTGATGTGCCCTTTACTGAGATGGGATGACTGGAAAGAATTAGAATTCTCAGGGCAGTGAAAATACCAAGGGAGGAAGGAGTCAACTGGATGTCTGTGTTGGGAGTTTTGGGAAAAGAAAGGTACAGTGATTTGATGAGAGTGGGGAGCATCTGAAGGACATTTAATGCCAGAAACTGAATGAGATAAACAGGAGCCTTGGTTATAAGGAGGAAATACAGTTGGAGAAGCAGTCTGTGGATTTTAAAGACTGTGGCCCACATAGGTACTCACAGGATATGAACAAGGGCTGAGGAAAAACCCACACAGCCCATAACATACCCCATATCCTTCTCAGACAAAACTGAGGTTTAATCCTGGGTTAACCACACATAAACATTTTGATTTCTGTGCCTCAGTTGCTTCATCTGTAAAATAGGAATGACAGCACCTTCACAGGATTTTGGGAGTACGTGATAATGCACTGGAATGCAAGGTTGGGAGTTCAAACCCACCAGCATTTAACAACAACAACACAATAGTTAATATGGACTCCCGGTGTGGTGCTGTAGGATCAGCACTGGACTGGGAGCCACAAGTTCGGCAGTTCAAACCCACCAGCTGCTCCTCAGAAACCCTGTAAGGGTTGCTATGAGTTGGAACCCACAGCAGTTAACAACAACAACAATAAATGGTTAAAGTACTCAGCCACTAACAAAACGGTTAGCAGTTCTGAGTCCACTCGGAGGTACATCAGAGGAAAGTTCTGGTGATCTACTTCCAAACAATCAGCCATTGAAAACCCTATGGAGCACAGTTCTACTCTGATACACATGAGGTCACTGTTGAGTCAGAATTAACTTAATATCAACTTTTAAAATAATATGCAATGTGCTGGGTATACAACTGCTATTCATACATGGCGGCACCCCATCTCTAGTGACCGGAAGCAGGTCTAGAAAGTTAACTCAAAAGTGTTGGTCAGAGGAAACCTTCCAGATTCTAGTCCTGAAGATACACCCAAGTCTTTCTTACTGGGTCTTGAGTGTATCCCAGTCCCCATCAGGTTTTACAACCTCTCAGCCAGGCAGGTCCCTTTGCCCTTTTATCTCACTCCTTTTATGTTGTTTTTTATCCATTCATTTTGCATAAGTATTTATTGAGCATCTTCTATGTGCTGGAAGCTTGATGCAACAAAATATGCACAGGCTGTGGGGTACACAACCTGTTTTCAATCCTACCTCTGCCACTTACAGGCTGTAGAATCTTGGTCAAGTGACTTACCTCTTTAGGCCTCAGTTTCCTCATCTGTGAAATGGGATTAATACCTCATCAGATCTAATTAGATAATGTCTGCTAAACATAGCTAAAAAAAGAAATAAAATTGGTGCCTTCTAGTTGATTCCTGTGTGGTGTGGCACTGAGGATTAATGCGTTGGGACTGCAAAGTCGGTTTGAATGCAAGGTCGGCGGCTCAAGCTCACCAGCCGCTCCTCGAAAACCCTATACAAGGTCACTATGGGTCGGAATCGATTCGACAGAACTTTAACAACAACAGTTGATTCCAATTCACGGCGAACCCAGGGAACTGCTCCATTCTTGGCTGTCATTTTTATTGAAGCAGATCACCAGTTTTTTTTTCTCCTTGGCACCGTTGGGTGGGCTCACATCACCAACTTTTGGGTTGGTAGTCAAGGGCAAACTGTTTGTACCACTCAGGGACCTTACCAATAAATGTTCAATAAGTAATAGTGGTTATTATGGCGACAGAAGACTCCTGGTGTGGCACTGTAAGATCAGTATTGGGCTGCAAACCACAAGGTCAGCAGTTCAAACCCACCAGCTGCTCTTTGGAAACCTTATACAGGTCACTATGAGTCGGTACCGACTCTATAGCACTTAATATGGCTATAGAGAATGTGGGGGCAAATTCAAGGTATTGGATGGGGTTGGAGGCAGGCAGCTGTTCAAGGCAGGCCTTCTCCGCCTTCCCTCTTTAGGACATGGCTACCTACTTCGTGAATCTGAGCCAGGCGAACGCGCAGGGAACGCCGCAATGGGATCTTGAGTACCGGCTGACCGAGGCCTACGGCGTTCTGGACGCTAATGCTCGCTCCATGCACGTGGCGCTAGAACGCATCGCCAACGACCAAGGCACGCTGCAGCGTTACTACGTCTTCAACTCCGTCAGCTACGACGTTCAGCCCTGTGGGGAGAGCTGCCGCGCAGAGCACGTGTGCGCGCTGCGCGAGGTGGCCTTCGAGGCTTACTCCTCCTGCCTGCGCGCCTCCGGCGGTGTGCCCGCGCCGCGGCAGGCGCTGCTGCTGATGGCGCTGGTGAGCATGCGCATCCTGTTCGTGTCGTGACCTTAGCGTCTCACGCAGCCCCCTCGGCTGCTTAACTTCCCCCTTGTAAAACCGCGGTAACACCCTTTTGAGACCTGGGTTTTTCCGCCATTTCACTCGCATCCGCAGAGATGGGACAGCCGGATCCGGAAATGAAGCACCAGAATCATATTTCCTTCAAGTTTCATGTCTTATCTAGAAAGCAGTGTACATCATGCATATTATTGTGTGGTATTCCCTTTAATATGTAAATAAATGTTTCAAGTAATTCACAGTTAGTGGCCCTTCTCCCTTCCTCTGTAACACTAGTCGCACAACCTCAACGTCCACGGGTCAGAACGTGCCTTCTTTTTGTTTTGTTTTTCCAACAAGCAGAAGTGAGGGATCGTAGGTAGAGCCTGGGCTCTTTCCGCCATTTGGGGCTTTTGTTGTTTTTAGGTGTGGTATTGTAGTTTTTGACTTGTCCCATATGACTGAGTAGAACTGCACCATAGAGTTTTCTAGGCAGGTGGGTGGGAACCGACTCGACAGCACTTAATAATCATTACAGGAGCAGATCGCCAGGTCTTTCTTTCAAGGCAAGTTCTTAAGTGTTATGCCACCAGGGCTCCAAGCACTGGGCCTCTAAACAAACACAAAATCCACTGCCATCTAGTCGACTACTTCTCTTAGCGACTCTGTATAGGGTTTCCAAGGCTGTAAATCTTAATGGGAGCAGATAGCCTGTCTCCATCAGAAAGGCTGGTGAGTTTGAATTGCCCAATTTGCGGTTAGCAGTCAACCGCGCCATGAGAGTTCCTATTGGGCCTCTGATGTTAAGTGCCGAGGAGTAGGTTCAGACTCAGCGACCTTGCCTTGGGTTTCCAAGGAGTAGCTGGTGGATTTGAACCACCAGCCTTGTGGTTAGCAGTTCAGTGCTTATCCTACAACGCCACACCAGGACTTCCTTGAGCCTGTTGGCATCTCAGATGTAAATTAAGATGGCTGGAAGCTTGCTAAGCTAAGAGTTGTGTGCCTCAGGTGGTCGGTTTTCGGACCATGGGGGTTCAATTAGTTTGGGAAAGTACTGTCCAGAGCGACAAGAAGCCTGACGTAGGGGACTGCAAGAGTCCTGCAGCGGGGTTCCCAGGCCTAGCTCCTCCCCGGACGAGGCGGGACAGGGAAGTCCCGCCCAGTAGGGTCAGGCCTGGGACGGCCCGGAGGGTTGTGCTCGCCTCCTTCCTGACTGGGCAATCCTAAAACCCGGGGGCGTGCCGGAGCCGCGGAGTAGGGGATGGGGAAGAGACAGACGGGCCATGCCCCTGTCGCCCCGCACCGCACTCCTTTGGGACTTGGTCCAGGGAATCCTTGGCACTGCTGCCTTCCTGCTCGACCTAGGCGCCGACCTGTGGATGGTGGGTCAGTACTTGCTCAGCGGCCACTACCTGTGGGCAGCGCTGGTGCTGGCACTGCTAGGCTTCGCTTCCGCCGCGCTGCAACTCTTCAGTTGGGTCTGGTTGCGCGCCGACCCCGACGGCCTGCACAGGTCTCAGCCTTCCGGCCGCTGTCTGGCGCTGCTGCATCTCCTACAGCTGGGTTATCTGTACAGGTAAGCGCCCAGCCCTCGGGAGACGGGGGAGCAGGAGCCCAGCGGGCACCTCCTGACGTTGGGCTGCTGACTCCCGAGGAAAAGGGTCGGGACTGCGATTCCTCACTGAAGGGAGGTAACAGCCCCTGCAGGCAACGCTGCCAATAAGTGAGCGGGGCCCGCCCATTACGGGAGGAGAACTACTCCTTAGAGCTATTCTAGTCTGTCCATCCTTGTACAGGTGGAGAAACGGAGGCCCAGGGAAGAAAGGGAAGATCTGGGGCCTTGGGGTCAGAACTTTCTGGGATCCAGTTTTTCTTGTTTGAAAGATTATTTTATGGAAGAGATTTTTGTAAGGGAAACTCTCGAGTACATAAGATGAGCTTTATAGTTTTTAAAGACATCGGTTCTTAATGTCGTGGAGATTGACTAGGCCCGTTTATTTTAGAAGTTCCACACTCAATGAACATGGAGGGATGCTGCCACCTTCATTCTTGTGTTGATGTTCAACTGCAGTGATTCTAGTACCATAACACAAAAATTGGCTAGTTTCTCTACTTTCATTGGTAGATCCATCCTTCTGACTACCTTGCCATCCGCACAACGCTCGCAGTAGTTGGCCACAGTACCAACACCGCCATTTTCCAGTTCTGGTTTTGCTACCTGTAAACTCATTTCCTGCCTCACTCCAAGCCTTCGTTTCCTCCTCTATAAAATGGTGGTGGTAGTTTAGAGATGGCTCTGGCAGGCAGCCTGTTGTGAGGAGTAAGGGAAAGCTTTGGGTAGTGCCTAGCAGAGAGTCAACTCTTACTTTAATGCGAAGACCTCTGTTCAAAACCTGCTGTTCCTTCTAGCTGTGAGCTCAGCTTTAAGGTTAAGTCACTTGACCTCTTCAGGACCTTTTACTTACTGGTCCAATGGGCATGGTAATAGTGCCTGCCTCTGAGCTTTGTGAGCATTAAATAAGATCTAGGCATTTCCCTCGCACAGCGTACGCATCCATTAAATGTCAGCTAGTATCATGATTACCTCCATCAACATGGGAATTTCAGCAGTCCTAACCCCCAGAGCAGTGCTGTTCCTTCACAGTTGCTCGTCGCTCACCCTTTCCTGCCCAGTTGTGTTATCCTCCTTGAACATTTGCTCTGCACCGCTCCCAGGCTGAGCATTTGGAGAGAAATGTATCTGACTCACTTGTGTCCTCAGAGCCAGCAGGGCCTGACTGGGTCTTAGAGAATGTGTATGGACTGAGCTCTTTTTCAGAACTGGCAGGGCTCTGCAGAGATGGGGAAACTGAAAGCCAGGGCTCAGAGTCATAGAATGAAGTTAGGACACAATGTGATCTGTGTGGGATGGTGTGGCTGGAGCCAGGATCCCCTCTTGAATCCGCTTTTACAGATTCTCTCCAGATCTTGCCTTGACAAAGCTGCAGTGTCCAGGACTGGGCGGGAGGAACTTTGAGGGACCTTATAGACCTTAACAGAGTTCTGGTGTGGCACTGAGGGTTAATGCACTGGACTTGAAGATCTGTTTGAACTGCAAGGTCGGTGGTTCAACCTCACCAGCCGCTCCTCAGAAATCCTATACAGGGTCACTATGAGTCAGAACTGACTCAACGGCACTTAATAGCGACAACAACAACATAGGCCTTAATAAAACCTCAGCCAGGTGGGAAGGGGCAGTCATTACAGCCCTGGGTGGGCTTAACATCAGGCATCTTCCTTTGTTCTATTTCTGCTGAGCGTGAGTCGGACAGATTGATGTGTTTTGCTGCCAGTGCTCAGAAGTGCCCAGTGATAAAAGGTCTTGCTCCTTGGGCACCGCTTTCACAAAGTATGTTTGTTCACCACTGGTGTTGGAATCCTTTGGGGATGCTGATTTCAAATGCAGATTTCTGGCCTCCTCCTGCACACTGACACTGGGTTAATGTGCTAGACTGCAAAGCCTTTTGAACTGCATGGTTGGTGATTCAAGCTCACCAGCTGCTCCTTGGAAAACCTATACAGGGTTGCTATGGGTTGGAACTGACTTGATGGCACTTTACAATAACAACAACTGCAGACTGAATGAGAACCTCTTTATTTTTTCCTATTTTTCCAATGGAACCACTCCATCCCCACCCCCCAACCCCCTTACATAGTTAGGGCGCTCTTTCTAGAGCACTCAGAAGCTCCTGTTGCCCACAGGAGCACCAAAAGATGCTTTTGTTGTGTTGTTAAGTGCCATCGAGTAGGTTCCATCTTGGTGGTGGTGGTTATGTGCTGTGGAGTTGGTTCTAACTAATAACAACCCTGGATAGAGTTTCTGAGGCTGTAAATCTTTGCCAGGAGCAGAAAGCCTCATCTTTTAACAACTGGTCGCTTCAAACTGCTGACTGTGAGATTAGTAGCTCATCTTGTTGTTGTTGTCAAGTGCCGTCGAGTCGAATCCGACCCATAGCGACCCTGTATAGGGTTTCCAAGGAGCAGCTGGTGAGCTTAAACCGCCGACCTTGCAGTTCAAACAGTTTTGCAGTCTGGCGCATTAACCCACAGCACCACACCAGGACTCTAGAGCTCATCTTAGTCATGTTAAAATTTGACAACTGCCTCCTCTGAATTCATACTGCTTTGGGTCCAAATTCTGATTCCATTACTTCCTAGCTTTTTGATCCTGTTTCCACACCTGTAAAATGGGGATGTGGCAGAGAGTCAATGGGACAGATTTGTCATACGCTTGACACAGTACCCGGCCATTAGGAGCAATAGTAGTTCTGTTTATCCCCATTTTATAGATGAAGAAACATTAACTCAGTGAGGTTAAGTTGCTTGCCAAGTGACAGAGATGGGATTGTGTACCTGGAGGGGCAAGAGGGAATGCCATCATACTAACCTGGCCCTTTGGACATCTTTTGTATTGCCTAGGTGTATTCAGGGCCTTCAGCAGGGCCTGTTGGTGTGGCAGCAGGAGGTGCCCTCTGCTTTTGACTTGGCCTATTCTGACTTCCTCTCCCTGGACATCAGCATGCTGAGGCTGTTTGAGACCTTCTTGGAGTCGACCCCGCAGCTGACGCTGATACTGGCCATTGTGCTACAGAGTGGCGAGGTTGAGTGCTACCAGGGTGAGTGATGGGCCAGCAGCCAGCTTGGCAGAGCCTCCCTCTAGTGTCACAAATGTTTGCTCTTTTAAAAAAAGCCTGCTTGGAAAAAAAAAAGAGCACATACTTCAGTCAAATCTAAAGTCACTCTCTAGCTGTATGACTTTGGGCAAATGATCCAACCTTTCTGAGGGTCCGTTTGTTCTCATCTGTAAAATGTATACAATAAATGTTCCTACTTCCTAGTTTTAATGAAAGGATTAAGAGATGATGCCTATAAAACACAGTGTTTGGCACATAATAAATCTTCATTCTAATCTGTACTATTTTGAAGACGGGGTGCCTGACACATAAGAGGCAACTTGTACATAGATCTATCAAGCACCTTCATCTATTCAACGTGTTTTTACGGAGCACTTTTTCTGTGCCAGTTACTGTCCCACAGCAGTGAACAAGATAGACACAGTTCCTGCCCTGCCAGACTGACAGACAATGAAACAGTAGTTACAGAAAATGTGTCCAATGATCTGAAAGGGGAGTGGTAGGTGGTACAATCTCACAGGGCTTTATAAAACCATGGGGAGAAGTTTATACTATGAGGAGTTTGCTTGTAAAATGGAAGTGGCTTGCCCAAGGTCACAGTGGCCTGATTCAGGATCTAGGGTTTCTCCTTCACCACAGGACACTTCGAGGTCCATTGATGTAAATGCCACAGCCTCCTAAAGAACTCAGTCCCTCCCTGCTCTGCCATCATTTGCTGTGTGACCCAGAGAGAGTTTTCCCCTCTCTGGCCTCAGTTTCCATAATTGTACAAGATGAGGGTTAGATTTTGTTTTCAAGGAGCCTTTCAGCAATGCTAGTCCAAGTCTGTAATCATTTGAAATCTCGTAATGGCAGTTTTCATGAGTGAGTGTCTGATAGTAGCTGGGCACTGTGCAAAATGCTTTGGAGTTTCATACACAAAAGGCAAGAGATACAGAAAGGTGAAGTGGTTTGCTGTGAGTCACACAGCACTCACTGGACACATAATTTCACTATTTGAGGGAGGTCAGTGTTTAGGATGAGGGCCAAGTAGATACAGTCTACATTGTGTGTGTATGGTGGAAGATAGGGTGAAGAAGACACATTTTTAGTAGCTAGGTGTTGTGTCACTAGGAGTTGGGATGGAATCGACTCCATGGCAGTGGGCTGTTAGTGGATAGGTACTGTGCTCAGCCTTGGGGATCTGTTTCCTACCACAGAGAAGCTCAGAGATAAGGACATAGCTGTTGTTGTTGTTATGTGCCGTGGAGTCGGTTCTGACTCATAGAGACCCTGTACAGCGTTTCTGAGGCTGTAAATCTTTATGAGAGCAGAAAGCCTCATCTTTCTCCCGTGGAATGGCTGGTAGTTTCAAACTGCAGACCTCGAGGTTAGCAGCCCAATTCATAACCACTATGCTACCAGAGCTCCCTAAGGGCATAGTAGGTAATTGTTATATGATTAAGCGGGAGGCAGAAGTTGGTGGGTAATTTGTTGTTGTTGATAAGTGCCCTGGAGTGGGTTCTGACTCATAGCCACCCTGAGGAGGAGCAGCTGGTGGATAATACAGGGACATTAACAAAATTGGAGTGGGTTAGGATGGGTGACTCTCGGGGTTATTCAGACTGGGACTTGCATAGTGAGTAGGCATAGGCTAGGTGAGGTAGGGCCTATGTTCCTGACCCACCTAACAAAATGGGCAAAGGCTTGTTAAGGTCACAGGATTCAACATAGTGGGCCTGCCCTGCTGTGACCTCGAGTGTGGAGTAGTTAGGCTGATGGCCACAGATCTGGTCCCAGTAAACCTCTGTGAATGAATGCAGTGGGAAGGGGACAGAGATACACTACAGCTGCTGCCTTTGCCTCCAGGAGGTCCTGGTGCCCTTAGTCCTGAAATGAGAACCAGGAGGTGAAATAGGAGCCCCACTGTTTACTTCCACATCTTGGGAAATCTAGACTAGGGAGGAGCAAGGGGATGCTCAACGTACACAGCAGGATATCCCTCCTGCCCTAAGTGTAGCTTTAACTAGAACCTTTGCCTCTCTGTGGAATTTTTTGCTTTTCTGAGACTGAGATAGGGAAACTGAAACTGCTGGTTCTTAGACTCAAGTGCGACTTGGGCTCTTCCAGGAAAGGAAGGGTTGGTTACGGAGCCCCAATAACAACAACAGCAGAAGATGCTTAGGTTGTGGCCACGGCCCAGGGTGCCAGCTTCTGGGTGACTTTTTACAAGTCACTCCCCCTTTTAGCTTTGAAAAACATCACTGTGATAGCACCTGAGAAGTAAAGCATAGTGGTGAGGGGAAGACATCACATTTGCCTTCCAATTTTTTTTTTTAAACCCCCCAAAAAACTGGTTTTGAGAACTTATGTAATGTTCTCCAGCTTCAGTTTTCTTTTTTAGCTTTGGAGGGTTCTAATACTTCCCTCAGGTCCCTAGATTGGTATAAACGGTTTACGTTTAGCTACTAACAGAAAGTTCAAAAGGTTGACTGTTCCAATCTGTCCATTGGCACTACAGAAGAAAGACTTGGTGATTGACCACTTTAAGATGAGATCCACTGAAAACATGGAGCAGTTACACTCTGACACACACAAGGGCTCCATGAGTTAGAATCTACAGCAAATGGCTTTGGTTTTTAGTCTTTACCTCAGGATTATAAGGGTCCCCACAGTACCTGAAGCATCCAAGCAGTGCCAGACAGGCTGCCCCAGGACTCACCTGTTTTCTGTTACTCTTCGTAGTGGTTGGCATCTGTACATCCTTCCTGGCCATCTCGTGGGCGCTGCTTGACTACCACCGGGCCTTGCGAACCTGCCTGCCTTCTAAGCCCCTCTTGGGACTGGGCTCCTCTGTGATCTACTTCTTGTGGAACCTGTTGCTGCTGTGGCCCCGAGTCCTGGTTGTGGCTCTATTCTCAGCCCTCTTCCCCCGCTATGTGGCCCTGCACTTCCTGGGCTTGTGGCTGGTGCTGCTACTCTGGGTCTGGCTCCAGGGCACAGACTTTATGCCAGACTCTGCCTCTGAGTGGCTCTACCGGGCAACAGTGGCCACCATCCTCTATTTCTCCTGGTTCAATGTGGCTGAGGGGCACACGCGAGGCCGGGCTACCATTCACCTGGTGTTCCTCCTGAGTGACAGTGGTCTCCTGGTGGCCACTTGGTTGACTCAGAGCACCTGGCTGCCTAGTGGAATCCCACTGCAGATGTTGCTGTATGCAGGTGCTTCCAGCTTCCTTTTGGGCCTGTGTCTGCGGCTTGTCTACTACCACTGGCTGCACCCTAGCTGCCATTGGGAGCCTGACCAGGTAGACGGAGCCCGGGGCCTCTTTTCCCTCAAGAGCTGCCAGCTGCCTCAGAATGGGCGCTTGACAGGATTGGCTCAGAACTTTTTCTCAAAGCCTAAAGATGAAATGGCTTCCTTAATGAAGAGAGAGGTAAATGGGGTCTTTTGAGCTAGGGTTCGATTCTGCTAGGGGACAAATGGACAGTGAGTTCATTGATAAAAAGCAGAAGGAAGATAAGCTAACTATGGCATGATGAGTCTTGGTCTCAAGAAGAGCTTGATGCCTGATCTGTGCCTGACCCTGAAGATCAGAGTTGAGGAAGACGTAAGCCTGACTTCAAGGCATTCACAATGTGAACAAAATGAAGGGCTGGGTCCTGGAAGGTCAATGGGCCCCAATTATTATTATTAAAGTATTAGACGGTTTGGGAGGAAAGAAAAGAATCCTATTTTTCCTTCCCACCAACCAGTATAACAGGTGGTGTGACCCCCAAACTACCCATCCTTGGTATTTTTACCTCCCTGGCCACCTCTAAAATAGTTGATTGTTGTTGTTAAGTGCCAGTGAGTCGTTTTTGACTCAACAACCTTATACATGGTTTCTGAGGAGCGGCTGGTAAGCTTGAACTGCTGACTTTGCAGTTCCAACCAACTTTGCAGTCTAGCGCCACACCAGGACTCCAAAATAGTTGATAAAGGTGCTGTTTTACCCTTTGGGCCCCCTCACCTGGACAAGAAGGCCCCCGCACTGGAACACTTTCTCCTCTGCTCCCACCGCATTCATTCGGTTTACTTAACAAATATTTATCGAGAGCCTTTTCTGTACCAGGAGCACCATTCTAACCTTAGAACCTGGAACAAGGTCAGCTACCAGCTTTATTCCTCACCTTCTTCATTCCTGAGTAGGGTCTCCAGTGCTAGAGGACTGAGCCAGGGATGCCAACTCTGGTTAGTTCCTGTCAACCCCTTCAGGGCTACAATGCAGCTGACTCAGCCTCTGCTGCTGCTCACCAGGGACCTCCTTTCAACCAAGTGCCTTGTCAACCTGTGGGCTGGGCCATGGTTCAGTCCCGGGACTATTTTATTCTTTTGCCAGTATACCTCCTACCTCAGAGTCCATGTGGGAGAAAGAGAATGTCTACACATGTGTGTCTACAAATGAGAGACCTGTATGTGGTGGTGTTTAGCAATATTGTATTATTATTAAAACCTATGAAATCTTCCAACCTAGTCTGTGTCGTGAAACCAAACTGACTACAAAGTTCAAAAACACCTGGAGAGGAGAGAGTCTCCCCTCAAAATTGGTAAGGGGGAGGAGCTTTGTGTTACAGAAATTTTGTTAGCTTGTTTTGGTTGCAGTTTCCAATTTCTTAAAATACTGTTATCTTTTCCAACTTCCTAAGATCCTAATTCTTGTATATTCATTAGTGTTGAACCAATGCTTTCTCTTGTCTCAATTATTTGTATGTGCATTCTTTTCAGATGTTATTAAACAAAATCTCTTTAAGATTTTTTTGGTAAAGGCCCCTGGTACCAGAGAAGGGGTGGCTGGTTAAGGTAGGCCTTCTAAACTTTGTTTTTAAGTTTCAGGAACTGGATGAGCTTCCGTGGGGTTTTCAGCTGACCTGGATCCAGGCTGACTCTGGTATATGCTGTTAACCACCAGCTCAGTTGCTGGTTCTGGCAGGGGCAGCCATGAACATTTCAGGAAGAGATTATGAAAGCCCACATGAGGAAAGTCTTTACTAGGATCTTTGGGAGGGTTTTGATAAGATGGCTTATGGGATCTGGATGTGGGATAGTGCTGGGATGGTGCAACCTTTTGCTGCTCTAGGTCTGATTTGGAGAAGCAGAGAACAAGAAAAATGGTCCTGGAGAGAGGAGGAAGTGTTCAGTCATCACTGTGATAGGATTGAATAGTCCTGTTACTCATTCTAGCAAAGATACGTCACAAGTAAAGCATCACAGTGTTAGGCACTAAAGAAAAAGCAGAGGAGAGTGAATGGATTGTATTGTGGAATTTTATATGGAAGGGTCTTCCTGAGCAACTGACAAGCCCCAAGGGAGGTGAGGGAGACAACCCTGTAGATAGATGCACCTCACCCCAGACACCAAGTGGGCAGTGATGGTGCTCATGTGATCTTAAGGAATAGCCTGGGGGGTGAGTCGTAGAGACATTGGTGGATTGAGCCCTTGTGAGGTAGGGAGGGTGCCCTCTCTGAGGACAGTAACTCCACTGGATCAAGGAGGGCATGTGGCAGCTACTTATACTGCTTTGGAGCCAAAGACAGCGATGAGGGTCGGGGCAGATGAGAGCCTCTGGAAAGCTAATGCTTTTTCATAGTTGGTATGTTACAGGAAGAGCTCTAGATCATCCAGCCCAGTGATTTCCAGACTTCTCAGTTTCAGGAACCACTAAAATGGCTCACATAGTTGCCAACTTAATTTTAACAAAAAAGGGCACTAAACCCAATTGTCTGTTATCTCATAAACAAAGGGACAAAACAATTTCAGAATAAAGGACCATTCTCTTTTTTTGGGTCACGGTTTAAAAATATTTTGTTGTTAAGTGCCATCGAATTGGTTTTGACTCACAGCAACCCTGTATAGAACTTCTGAGGAATGACTGGTTGGTTGGAACCTCCAACCTTGCAGTTCAAACTGACCTTGAGGTCCAGTGCATTATCTTAAGTGCTATTGAGTCTGTTCTGACTCATAGTGACCCTGCATAGGGTTTCTAAGGAGCAGCTGGTGAATTTGAACCACTGACCTTGTGATTCAAACCAACTTCTGCAGCCCAGTACATTAACCTGTTGTTATTATTAAGTGCTGTCAAGCCAGTTCCAACTCAGTGTCCCTGTATAGGTTTTCCAAGGAGCGGCTGGTGAGCTTGAACCGCAGACCTTTCAGTTCAAAGTGACCTTGCAGTCCCAGTGCATTAACCCTCAGTGCCACACAGTTTTTTGAGAATTTAACTTTTTATAGGTGTCTTTAAATAAACAAATTATAATTTTCTCAACTCATAGGGAATATTGAGTCATGGTGTGGTGTTGTTGGGTAAGCACTGGATTGCTAACCTTCAGGGCAGTGGTTCAAACCACCAACTGCTCCTTGGAAACCCTATACAGGGTCACTGAGTCAGAACTGACTCAATGGCACTTAGCAACAACAACCAACCTAAGGGTTGAGACTCCAGAGGACAAGCCTGGCCTGTACAAATCCCTGGGCTTAGAGCCCAAACCTGGCCATGGACATCCGTCCTAACGGTTTCAACAAAAGTCTGTTTCACACATTTCTTCCTGGCATACAAGGAATAGACTAGGCTCAGGGGATATACCACATGTGTCCAAAGAGAAGACCCAAGCTTTAGGCAATTCCCCATTTGTCTTTTGAGAAAAAAAAAAAAAAAGATTTTAAGTTATTTAGTAAAACTTTCATTTATGAACATATACATGATGGTTATGTTCACAATTCCATCCATAATGTTCTATCCAAAAAGTCTGGAACTTAGCAGTTTACAGAATCAAATATTTTAAAAATGAGTGACATTTATAGTATTGTTGCCAAGTACAGTCTAGTTGGTTCCTAATTATAGCAAACTCTGTATAGGGTTTCTGAGGAGCAGCTGGTATGCTTGAATCACTGACTTTAGAGTTCAGAAGTCCAGTGCGTTGTAGCCTACAGTCCCCACACCAGTACTTCTTTATAATATTAGAATGAGAAATTCCCCTTGAAGATTTCCATTAAGAACTTTTTTTTGGACACTTTAAAAGCCTTCAGAACTGCTTATTTCTATCTGGCACCAAAAAGTTTTTGAGAAATGAGCAGATATTGTACTTATTAGAGGGGGAATGGAGACACTTTACTCTTTGGGCCTATAGTTGAGTTCAAACTGCATGTCTTCTGGTGAGGAGATTTAATGACTAGAATACAGGACAATACTCTTTTTCCTGGGGTAATAAATTTAAGGAAAAAAGAAATGAATTTTAATCTGTTTCATTGGAATAAAGGTTAAAAGGATAGACTGTTTTTCAGACCAGTGAGTAACAGTCAGACCCAAATCTGAAGGAAAAAAAAGTTAATGTGACATGAAATCAGACTAAATCAAATGAAGTTTAATATCAGTTTGCCAGTTTTATTGCTTTTGCATTTAAGCTCAGCACAGCATGGTAGTTATTGATTTTTCTCTTCAAAAGTTAAATATCAGTACACTTGACAGCAAGTAAAACTTCTAAAAGCAATATATTTTAGAAATAAGAACTCTTCTCTGTGAATGATTTTGACATCCCTTTTACTTTCCATGTGCATTTATTTATACCAAATGGTTAGTAGTTTTCAGTTTTTACCTTTTTGTGTGTGAAATTAATGGATTTTTATGAAGCCCTATTTAGGATGCTACTAAGCTAGGCAATGGGCTGATCCTTTTCAGAAAAGACACTGGAGCAAACTGTATAGAAAATAAAAACTTTATTTTTCAAGTTTATAAGATAGTTCCCATTACATATAACATTATGGTCAAGGACTCTACAACCACAAATGCCCGCAGTCACATAAATAGATCCAATCCAATCTATACCTTTTTCTGCTAAAAGAGGCATCTGAAGTCCAGAGGGAGAGTCATGTTTTGAGCAGAAATTGTCTTTAATGGGATGGCTCCCGTCAGTGCATTCGGAACTAGCCAAGGAGCCTTGCTTGCTAGAACTATTTGACTCAAGAGAGGAACAAGCAGGTCTGCTGATCAAGGCTGGGGCCGAACTATATTTTCTTTCATGTGGTTTAAGATAGTTCATAATTTCAGAATTCAGATTTGGCTTCTACAAATACTTTTTTTTTTTTTTTTTTTTACAACTTTTAGATGAAAGGAAACCGATTTAATGGTAAGTAGCAGAACTGCCTGCTTAAGAGGGGGCCCTACCTGCCCCCTTCCAAAGCTCACCACCCCTTGGCCTGGACCATGGCTCTCCTAGGAAGAGGGAGAATGTGGCTCTGCCCCTAAACTCTTCTGCCCCATGGCTCAGTGACACTGACACCCATTTATGGTCGTGAACATTTAGAAGCTCCATATACTGCAGTTGGAGTTTGCCTATCAGATTCTACTTGGAGCTTTAAAGCTGAGTTTGTGTAAACTGCGAACAAGCTGTGGTACAGGTCTCCAGGGACACAAGCTTT